ATCATCTAATTGAATCAAGTAGTCAAGATAATGAGACTGATGAGGTTGTTATAACTAATGTAGAAACAAATGATTTAATATTTAATCCAATTAGATCAGAGAAAAGAAGAGAGTTATGTGAATTGATTAGTTTACCTGTTGATAACTTACATGATGTTGATGTGGCTGAGATTTGTAAACTGACAAAACCTTCTAAAATAACTGAAATCAAACGTGATGGTAATTGTTTGTTTAGAAGTTTATCATTTGTTCTTTCTTTATGTGAAAATAATCATAGAAAAGTAAGACTTGCTATAGTTAACCATATAAAATCAAAGGCAGATTTTTTCACATCTTTATTAAGAGAACAGTATCAAGCTATTGATGACTATATTAAACGTTCTAGAATGAGACTACTAGGAACATGGGGTACAGAATTTGAAATATTAGCAGCTTGTGATTTATTACAAACAGATATTTATATTTTTACTAATAATAAATGGGTGAAATATCCTGTATTACAGATTAACAATAGTTATACACCAGAAGCTATTTATTTACACCATAAAGATGAGAATCATTATGAAGTGGTTGATAATGTTGAGAGAAGTGAACCTACTTTAATTGATAATAATGTTGATATACAATTATCAGGTAAAAGAAAATATTTGAAAAAGAAACGAGGTAGTAGATGGAAACCTAATAAAAAGCGAACTAATTATTTTCAAAACTATAATTTAGTAAAGAAAGAACTAAATTCTGGACAAAAAGTCAGATCAAACTGGAAACTTGCAAATAGAACCAAAAAAGAAATTTATAATTTGAATAAAAGGAGGAGAAAACAATATCAGATTAGTTATATTAAAGCTCATTTAAAAAGAAAATATACAAATCAATTAAGGTCTATACTACATACTCAATATGAAACAATATTAAAACCAAAACTTGAAGACAAATACCAAAATGTATTAAAACCAAAACTTGAAGACAAATATCAAAATGTATTAAAACCAAAACTTGAAGACAAATATCACAATGTATTGAAACCAAAACTTGAAGACAAAT